CAAGACTAGATCAAAGCCTAATTTCACAAATTTTTCTAAACCTCACAATGTTAATCAAGTGTCTCTGCATTCTCAGATGGAAGATAAACCTGTGGATCCACAAACTGGTGTTGACAAATTTATGCAGAACCTGAGTCATAATCAATATCAGCACCTGATGACAATGCTATCTACTCATCTGGCCTCTACATCACAATCTACCTCTACTGATCAAGACAATGCTAAATCATCATATGCTGCAGGTATATATAAGTCCACATCTGTTAAATCTATGTTTGCCTCAAAGGATGTATGGATTGTGGACTCAGGTGCGTCCAGACATGTATGTTCCATTGCCAATGCATTCATAAACCTGAAGCCTATTACTAACTCAAGTATAACCTTACCTGATCACACATGCTTACCTGTCAGTTTATGTGGTGATGTGCAATTAGGACCTGATTTAACCTTGCACGATGTCTTGTTTGTGCCTCAATTCAAGTTCAATCTGCTATCAGTGAGTTCATTAACTGCTGGATCTCACTTCAGTGTACATTTTTTTCATGATCAGTTCATGATTCAGGAAGTTTCCACCAAGAAGAAGATTGGCAGGGGTAGCATCATCCAAGGCTTATATGTACTGGATGCCAAAACATTTACCTCTGTTTCTAATGCTTTTGTTAATTCAGTTTCTGCCCGTGTGTGGCACAATAGACTTGGGCATCTTTCATTCAAAAAGTTAGATGTATTGAAGGATCAGTTACTTTTTAATACTGAAGTTTCCAGTAGACATTTGCCTTGCTACGTTTGTCCTCTAGCAAAACAAAGGCGATTGCCGTTTGATTCACATAATAAAATTGCCAGTCAACTTTTTGAGCTTGTACATTGTGATATATGGGGTCCGTATTGCGAAGTTTCTCATTCAGGTTACAGGTATTTTTTGACACTTGTGGAAGATCATTCCAGATTCACCTGGATCTATATGCTCAAGCAAAAATCTGATGCTGTTCGGCTTGTGAAACAGTTTTTCAGTTTTGTTGCTACTCAATTCAATACTACAATTAAAACTTTCAGATCTGATAATGCGAATGAACTCTCTTTCAAGGAATTTTTTGCTGAGAAAGGGGTCCTTCATCAATTCAGCTGTGTGGAGAGACCACAGCAAAACTCGGTTGTTGAACGTAAACATCAGCACATCCTTAATGTGGCTCGTGCTCTTTTCTTCCAGTCCAGAGTTCCCATTCGTTTCTGGTCAGAGTGTGTACTCACTGCAGTGCACTTAATCAATCGAACACCTGCTCCTATTCTACACCACAAGACTCCTTTTCATTTACTCTATGGTCACATGGCAGATTATTCCTATCTTAAAGTCTTTGGTTGTCTGGCTTTTGCCTCCACACTCCATGCTCATCGAACAAAATTTCAGCCTAGGGCCAGAATGTGTGTCTTCTTGGGTTATCCTGCAGGTGTTAAAGGATTCAAACTCCTCGACA